TAATTCAAGTTTTGTGCAAAAACGCATGATCGCTCCGGCTCGCCTGGTGCGTTCCAGCCTACGTATGTTTTATATTGATCAAAATATGCAAATTTCAAGCACTTATGCAAATGTCGCTTCAGTCAAATTTCGTCCGGTGATACTCGTGCGTAATTTGACTATTTAAGGATATTTCTTCATGAAAATTGGTCATTTCTTGGAAACTCATTCATGGTTATTGCTTGTTTAGCAACAGCACTGAAACGTATTTTGGTATGGATGGCTGGTTAGCTGCAGCAGATTTGGTAGCTTTGTGCAAGAGAGTGATATCTTCTTCGACAGAGGGGGCGACCACTCGGATGGCTTCTAATGGCATTGCGAATACAGCCTGTGACAAATACAAGATAGAATTACGTGTGGATATGCTGTGCTTGTGCCTATATCTCACACTAACATCGAAGCCTAGAGGATCTTACTGCGCCTAGTTTATTTGATCCTGACAGATCCTGATTGAGGATTAGTAATCGAAATGGATTAAAAACTTCCCTCTGGATATTTTCACTCTCAGTGAGGCAAGAGTAGACTGTGTTGAACTTCCACCAGACAGCATGATTTTCGATGATTCCTCCTTTCGGGCATTGAGGAGAAGCAAGCTGATGGTACTTTCGACTTCATTCGATGCATCATTACCGTTTTACTTTCGAAAAAGATTTTAGAAGCATTGCCTTTCGCATAAACAAATAGCATTTTTGGAACCTTGGAATTATGTATTTTAAAATTTTGGAACACTTACGTTATTTTCCATATGATTGCAAAAAAGCATTCTCCGCTCCATTGATTTTGATTTTCCCTCACAGCCAGTATTCGCTTTTCTGCTTTCGTCAGTGAGCAAGTTTCGCATCCGTACGACACTGTTGTTCAGCAAAGTGCTGCTGGACGAGCAATCTTTTATCCTTCTGGTTTGAGTATCGCAACAAACTGTGTGGTATACACAGAATACTTGAAACAACTGTAAATATAGTGTGGTTTGCCAAATATGCATTATTGTGGACTTGGCCAGTACTGCTTCCCCTGGTGACCAGCCTTTCGATCATCCAGACACTTCTTTCGTCTCTGGAAATTACTACCAGCCGGTGCCGTCTCCTGAAGGGATTATCGGCTCAAAATTAGCAGTTTCGAGATTTCCTTAGTGGAGGTTATGTATTATCACTTTGCTCCGCATACGCCTTAGTAGCAAGGATACCAGTGCAAGAATCCTGTTTTAGCGGTGTTCCTGAAATGCTCCCATATTCTAGGCCCAGCTACGTCAGGTTCTTTGATCCTGAGATATATGTATGTCGTAAGATCGGCATATATATATATGTATATATATATATGTATACATACATGTACGCATGTATATATATACGTGCACATATATATATATGTATATATACATATATGTATATATATATGTATATATATGTACATACTTGTAGGCAGTTAGTAACCACTGCCTATCAATT